AGACGAATCCAGTCGGAGTTATATTAAAAATTGTCTTTGATCTTTCAAGCTGTTTTATGCCACTCAGCGGGTGTTGCGTGCATCAGTCCAAAAGAAGTTTAATAAAAAGCGCCCATTCATAAAAAAGTGTCTCACACGGCTCCGGGGGGTGAACAAAGGCCTTCTGTAGCGAATCGATGCGTTTTTGTCAATGCGTTTTTGTAAGAAAAATATCCATATTCAAAACGTAATAATCACTTTAATGTTGCTTGCGCCAACAGTTGTACACTGAAGCAGCTCCGGGCTGATGGCGTATGAGTTCAGCGTTGCGCATGCGCCGGTGAGTCTCTTGAAAACCAACGTTTGTTAACAGGAGCAAAGGAAAACCAGTCTCCTCTTGGCTTATATCGAAATCCTCCGACATTCTTCTTTACAAATCCTCGTTTTGTACTTCTAATAAGTGACCGTTGTTTTGTTTTGATCTCTCCCCTGCGCTTCTGCGTTCGTCACTTCTGAGCGGCGCATGCGCAAAGCTGAACTCATACGTCATCCTCCCGGAACTGCTTCCGTGTACAACTGTTGGTGCAAGCTACATTAAAGTGATTATTACGTTTTGAATATGGATATTTTTCTTACAAAAACGCATCGATTTGCTACAGGAGGCCTTTGTTCATGACATTAAAGTATATTTTAGTTTACCGTAAATGTTTTCAGTACATTTAATTAAATTAAATTTATATACTTAAGTCCTACTTAAGTGGGACAACTTAATTGCATTTAATAGAAACTTAAACTATAATCCGAAAACATTACATTTAGTTCACATGTAAGTATATTCTTTTAAAGTATCCATCTTATTTTTCAGCGCGGAAGTAAGCTGTTTTCTGTGAATGTGCGAGACTTCCGCTTCATTTGACGTGGTAGGGAAATAACGAGAAGAATAACAAAGTGCAATAAACGGGTGCAACAACCCAGTGTGTTTATAATAAGGCAACACATTAAAATAATATGGTAAGAAACACCAGTTTGCAATATCAAGCAGCAAGATGAGCTGTTTTGTACAGCTAAAAATAGCTAGAAGTGGATGACACCGGAAGCCAGACACATTCAATTTACAAATGGTTACAAATGGCAGCGCGGGCCTGCTCTTATTGGAAAAGTACGGTGAATATTATTTCCACAACAAGTACTGTTTTTAAAAGTATACTAAAGTATATTTATTTTTCACAATGAGAAACTGATTCATTAGGAAATTTCTTTGGACCTTTTTTCATGATTGTTAGTTTTGTGTGTGTAATTTGGTGGCACCTGTGTATTCTGGTCTGTCAGTTGTTCAGTTATTTGCTAAAGCATAATGAACCGTTTTGTCTCGCGTTATGTAGTAAACAACATTTTAGGACTGGAGAAAAACGTGTGTGTAGCCCGGGAAGAATTACTTATGTTTTACAAAAGTCATACTGTACATGTGGTATTTTGTATGTGTCTTGAAATGACTCTGAACAGCTGAGCATTGTGGGTAAATGCCGTGTGAAGGCAGTTGTACAGTAGGAGGCTCCCGGTGTGGCCCCAAACCTGCAGGTTTATTTAGGCTTTGCTTGTTCTTCCTTTCTCATGCTATTTAGCAGGTCTCCTCATCACTTATTCAGTCGAGAGAGAGAGAGAACTTCAGCGGGGTGTGTGTTTGTGTTCACTGCAGGGCTGAGGACAGATCTCTGCCTTCTCTAAGAGCTGTCAAACACGTGTGGAGACTGAGAACACAATGATCAGAGATGGCCCGAGTGCATTGATTCACTTTCTCTTATGCATTGTGTTTAGGCAATCAAATAGCAGAAATAAGTCCCATGTATGCAATGCAATATTGTTTATGAACAGCATAGTGTCTTTTTTCCATAATAACAGTATATGTCCAGAATGGAAAGTACTAGTAGTATATAATGTGCAGACAGTAATTATAATATATGTGTATGCAGTGTGTATATACTGTATGCATACTTTCTGTATGTGTACAAGAGCCGAATAACCAATTGTTTGCTTAAATGTTATACAACCAGAGCATACTGTACTGAATATTGTATCCCACAATTCTCATTGTTTTATTAATTTTTGGATTAAAATGGTAAATAACTGTTTATATTTCTGCAATTCCCATCAAAATCAATGGATTTGTGACTTTTTCTGACACAGTATTTACACTCCTAGTGTAAAGGAGCCCTGAAATATGCAACTTAACGAGACTTTTGATTTCTCAATAACGTAGCATACTGCTGTTTGAAATGTTTATCTTTGCGTAATATCTATTATATTGTAGGCAGTATCCTGCATTAAACAGTATTCTTTTGAACATTGAGTAAGTGACAGATTTTGGCTAGGCTGGGAATCAATGGATTCTGCCGGCTATATGCAGCAATACACTAAATATGACTTATTATTTGTTTTTAAAGGTATTTGAAACAGAACATGTTATGCAACAGTGAACATTTTAAACAGGACTACATTGTTGTCTTGTAACCAGACCTGCATTTTTAATTCAGCAAGTGGCATGTACAAATGAAAGTGTTGTTTTGCATTTTTTATCCAGTTTTGTGTAACATCTCTTTGCAGTCCAAATGAATCAAGAACTAGATATATTTTAAAAAGTCACAAATCAGAGCTGACATTAATTCCAGTTCATTTGTTCATTTTGATGTGGATAGTCAAACCGAGCACATTGCATTTTGGGATACAATACTTATTTGTAGCGATGTTATTTATATTAAATACATAGTTTTTATTTTTCAGTGAAATATTACTACAGTATAGTAATATTTATTTTATTTTATTTAGAAGTAATAATAATAATAATTTAAAGCCATATAAAACAGGTAATTGCAACTTTTCAAAAATCATCTAAAAAAATGTAAAAAGTTAGTTATTTCTCCCACAATCTTTCTCAGAATTGCAAGAAATAATATTTAGTCATTTTTATTTTTATTTAGTAATGATAATAATATTATTATTACTATTAGCCATATTCATATATTATCAGAACAATAATAATTCTATATATTACAACATCACAACATTTTGGCCAAATTGTTCAACCCTACAAACAAGCACAGCAAACCTGGATTTTTTTATTTTTTTTTTGATAATCTGGATAATTGCATTTTAAATAACAAATAGATTATTTTTCCCTAAATCATGCAGCCCTAGTGCATAGTGCCTACAGCAGAAGTAGTCAGTAGTATGACTGAATGCAATCATATACACACCCTATGTGGCACTTTTTCTCATTTGCTTTCAGTTGTTGTTCCTTTCAGATGTTTCCTGATCTGAAGTATCACATTATTGTCTTAGTTAGTTTTAATGTCTCTCTGGTGTTGGTGGTGGTGTAGTTAACCATCAGTTTACTGGATAATTAATTCCCATGTCCCTGGATGGTCATTCACTCTTCCTTGGATCTATTGCTCCATTCCACCCCAGGGTCATTTTGAGGAATAAATCTAGCGTAAGTCTCACGTTAGTCAAGCTCGCATCAGCTGACTCTCAGCTGATTCCCATCAACCTATGGGAATACAACACCTATCTAAGCATTCATATATAAGGTCCCTCAGTATTATCAGCAGTTTTCGCATTGCTCAATAGCTAATTACCCCCCTCCATCCCCAGCTCCTCCTCTGTCAGTCAGGATTCAGCCTTCTGATTCTCCTTTGAATCAGACTAATTCTAAAATGTGTACATAACATTATTGAACTTTAACGATATCTGCAATACATTTATGATGGTTCTGTTCTGTCAACCCTGGGGGGGGTGGGGAAGTGGGTTATTGCTGCTCTCCCTGCTCTCATCCATGCTAGGCTGCATGGATACGCAGGGAGTTCTTGCCCAGAACAGAACCATACCGCCAATCCAAACTGTATGCTAATTGACAATCATCTTTGACGGTAGTGGTCCTGACAGAACCATGATTAACCTAAATGGCTTTATGGGTGAGAGCGACAGGTGCCTCATGAGGGCAGAGGTCACTGTAGTGTTTAGTAAGCACTAGAGAGAGGTTAAAAAGCACAATTTGTCCTAAAGTTTATGTGATTTTAAAAGTGTCATCTACCAGCTCAGCACACTCTTAAAGCACACTCTTCACTCATTGCTGTGAAAACCCCTTTTGGATCCTTTATTTTTAAGTGTGCATATTTTAATCTGACAGATTTTGATCATTGGCTGCTCGTCCCCTCATTTTTTGAACCTCTGCTCCTCTGTAGCCTCCCTCCACCTCATTCGTATTCGCTTCCCTGCCCGCTTAAAGAGCCTTAGTGTTATCCTTGTGACGCCTGCAACTACGTAGACTCCCCCCCCCTCTCTTTCTCCCTCGATATGGTTCTCTCCCCCTCCCTCCTCGTCTCTCTCCCTCGTATCTTTTCTCTCATCGTGGATGCTGCAGCGGGAGAAACTGGGTCTTTCAGCTCAGGCAGGAGAGGCACCGCAGTATTGAGTCAAGCTTATATTACAAAACAGGAGGAGGAGAAGAAAAGAGGCGGCACGGACTGAAAGAAGACAATATGGATTTGTTTGAGATGCAAGACGCTGCACAAACGGGGTGAGGAGTGTGTCTGGATCGCTCTGAGGAGGGGAGGGAAAACAGTCCCCACATCCTCCCTCTTGACACTCTCCAATGCCCACTCTCTCTCTGACCGTGGCAAGTGTTTGTAACATCAATAATCACCGCTACTGGGCTCATTTCTCTCCTCGCTGTAACTCAGTAGGGCCTCCACTCGGGCTCCAGACTGCTAATATTTTGTACCTTTTTTTGGGATTTTCTTTGTTTTCTACTAAGATGCAAACTGCTTCTCGTGTTCACTGGATTTTATACAGTCATTTAAGGATTTAGGTTGGTCCAAGAATAGTGCACGTTGAGTTCTCTGCACATGTCTTGAATATTTCATCCAGCACTGTTTTTGGACTGTGCTTGCGTGTGTGTTCTGGCCAGCGTTGGGTTTTGCTGCTCACCTGGGCTGCAGATGAACATGTGGATTTGGGATCTTGACTGACAGATTCTTCACAACCTGATTCAGGTGGTAATTATAATATGACATAATATATATATATACCATTAGTTTACAAATAATTAGTCTCCAATTATTATATTGACATTTTTATATATTGCATCATGAAATATGTTTATGGATTTCTTGACGTTATTGTATGTGAAGTGTATATTTAGGTACTGTTGATCATTTTTCACTATTTTAATCAACTTTAAGTTTTTTTTGCAGTTCACCTAAATAGTCCTGCAGTGGCAAATACATTTTTTTAAGTACAAATGTTTGACTATATATTTATCACAAATAAACATGTATAATAATTCCAAAAGAATGAGAAAGATGTTGTTTAGATGCTGTTTAAAATAGTTTTAGATGAAGTAATGCATGTCACACTGCTGTCACAGCTTGACATTTACTTGACTACTACTATAAAATATAATAAAAGATATGATATACAGTACTGTTGTTTGAAGAGGAATGATAAAGTGGTATTTTCTTTGGGATCACTTGTTGTGAGTGGGAAACTTTCTGAGAGTCATTTTTGATCATCTTTAGGGACAGGTACTTGCTACAGTAAAATTACTTTAAGAGTGTTTTACTGTGGTAAATGTTTTGTTGTTTTCTATATGCATTCTATATGCAGTGTGCCGTAAATGTTATGGTTAATTGTTTATATGATCTAAATCTTTTAAAAATATGTGAAGTTCTGGATTAAGTAGAATTTTATTTATTTTTAATGTAATTTATTTTATTAAATTTAATTTAAATGTTTTGGTACACCTTGAGTTTAAACCGTTTATATATATATATATTACAAATATTATGCATTTTTGAGTCATGAATATCATTGTCGTCTTGACTTTGAAAGAGAGTCATTCATATAATTTTCTGTTTTATGATATTCTTGATACAAGAAAAAATGGCGTATGCATGTTGTTATTCCATAATGACTTTTATATGAATATATTGATAAAATATTGTAAATGTAAAAATTAAATGTAAAACATATTTATAATAGAAGAGGTGTATTCAATGTCTGAAATCAATTAGTAATTAAAAAAAAATAATATCTGAAAATCACATATCATACTTTTTTTTTTTTTTTTTTGAGACACGAGTTTGAGTGTGATTCCTAACGCCTGTGTTGATGTGTGTTTCACAGATTGGTGATTGGGTGGCAGAAAAGATGCTAATGGCTCGCGACACCTCCCGCGACGAGACTCAGAAGCTTCATAAGAAGTGGCTGAAACATCAGACCTTCATGGCAGAACTTGCTCAGAACAAGGAGTGGCTGGACAAGATCGAGAAAGTAAGGTCTCAAGGTTATGCTGTGCTCACTATCTTTGCTAATAGTAGTTGATACTGTTAATATAAAAGCATTTTCTCTGTCAGATAATTAAGTGTGTGCAAATGCTCGGTGCCATTCTTCACTTGGCTTGAAAAATGCTGTTAAGCACCTTGAAATGAAAACACGACTCAGCTGAAAGTCTTTCTCTGTTGACTCATATTCCATTATAGTCAACGACTCATGTGAAACAGAGCCAGTAATCAGAGATGGCATAGCATTTAACAAGGGCAAATTCGCTTAGTGTATCATTTACATTTAGTGGTGCACGCACACTTTCTATATTGTTTTGCATAGTAACTATTGTTAGTCATATTTAATGGGTTACATGGATTATACACATTATCTTCAGATGCCACTAAATATCCCAATACTATATCCTGCACCATTTGTGCTACAGACATGAATTGTACCTCAAATTGTGCAGCTTGCAGAAAAGAGTCAAGCAGCTATTATATTATATTATATTATATTATATTATATTATTGCTACTGTAACTGAAAGTGTTTCTGAAGTCAATTTTGGATAGATGAAAAAATCTCTGGTGCTTGTAGCACACTGGTGTCTGATTGAAGGACTGATGTTGTATAATCTGCCAATTACACTGTTTTATTTATATTGCTGGTGGGTTGAATGGAGTCTTCAGTTGCCAAGGCCCTCAGCCTCCTCATCTTGAATGATCATATAGGCATCACACAAAGTCCATTAATCATTTTATTCTGTGGTCAGCTGCAATAAGCGAGGATGAGAGTTGTTGTTGTTGAATAGGTACTACACTAATGCATCTGTGTAATGCAACTGTGTTTTGGGGTCAGGAACTATTCGGGTGTCTTTACTCATTTTAGTCATACATTTGTTTCTTCATGGGAATATATTTGGAGAAATTGAGCTTTACATCACTTGCTCACCAGTGGATCCTCTGCAGTGAATGGGTGCCGTCAGAATTAGAGTCCAAACAGCTGTTAAAAACATCACAATAATCCACAAGTTATCCACACCACTCCAGTGCATCAGTTATCGTCTTGTGAAGTGAAAAGTTGCGTGTTTATAAGAAACAGATCCATCATTAAGGCATTTTATCTTTAAACCATTGCTTCGGGCCAAAATAAGAGCCCATAATCCATAATAAGCTTCCTCCAGTGAAAAAGTCCATCCTCTGTTGTCCTCTCAAATCAAAATCCACCAACATATTTGTCTAGAGCTGTTTTGGACTGTTTTCACTTGTAAACGCTGCTTGATCTGTGCAGATTTCTCTCCTGATTCAGACAAGAAGACTTTTTGAATGGACACAGAGACCTCTTATTTTAGTTGGAAGCAACGTTTTGAACATTTTGAAGTCTTAGCAGTGGATTTGTTTCTTAGAAAAACAGTGTTTTTTGTTAATTGATGGACTGGAGTGGTGTGGTTTACTTGTAGGTTATTGTGATGTTTTTATCAGCTGTTTGGACTCTCATTCTGACGGCACCCATTCACTGCAGAGGATCCATTGATGAGCAAGTGACGTAATGCTCAATTTCTCCAAATCTGATGCAACGAAGAAACAATCTCATCTATGGCTTGAGGGTTACTATACTTTCAGCAAATTTTCATTTTTGAGTGAACCATTCCTTTAATGCCATTTTTGCTACTGAAGGCTAAATTAAAGTCGCTATTAATATCTGGCCTACCGAGACAAGGAATTATCACAAAACTAATGAGACAAAGTAATCACGTTTTATCAGCTGTTTGGACTCTCATTCTGACGGCACCCATTCACTGCAGAGGATCCATTGATGAGCAAGTGACGTAATGCTCAATTTCTCCAAATCTGATGCAACGAAGAAACAATCTCATCTACATCTTGAATGGCTTGAGGGTTACTATACTTTCAGCAAATTTTCATTTTTGAGTGAACCATTTCTTTAATGCCATTTTTGCTACTGAAGGCTAAATTAAAGTCCCTATTAATATCTGGCCTACCGAGACAAGGAATTATCACAAAACTAATGAGACAAAGTAATCACAAAATTGATTACTTAAAGTTGCTTATACATGCTGCTTGTTTGATGTTACCACAATAATTATCAAGAAGGTAATGTAAATATTTGATAGCGCCCAACCATAGTGTTTGATAGCATGTGAGGACTGTGTGTGTGCAGATTTCTCTTGACCTAGTATTTCCTGTAGACAGCTGAATGCTGGGGCCCATTTAATTTCTCTGTCATATAACCTTAAACTAGTTACCAGGAATAGAAATATGCTGAACTGTGCTGGCTACATATTTATAAGAGTGCCCTGGATTCATGTACCGCACTCTTATTTTCTGCTGAATTTGGCCTGTTTGGACAGCTTTACCTGCTACATAAATGCTTTACACATTCACAGTGTTCACAGGTGTATTCACAAGGGTCAAATCGATGTTTAGTTTGGACAGTTTTTTCTTTTTATAACCCTAAGTTACTTGGTCCTACTGTTCAGCAAACCAGAAGTGTTACTTTGTCCAAATATTTATTTGGTCTGGTCATATCCAGTGTCTTAGTTTAATAATTCATGTCTGATCTTTAGCCAAAAAGATGAGCAATTCACTAACATGTATAATATACAATTGGATAAATTATCCTTGATTTAAAATTCATTTTATCTGCCATGCAAAAAAAAGTACTTTAGCATTAAAATGACTTTGCTCATGTGCAACTCTCAATCACAGGCAGCTGCGTATGACAGGCTCTTTCTAAATATGTGGTCAAATTGCCTAGTTTGCTAGATTAAGGGAAAAACAGCTTACCTACCCTATATGTGTCACGGTCTGTGTAGGAGAGGAATGACAGAGATGAGGATTATCGAAACAGTCTTTAATATATCCAAAGACACTGGGTATATCCACACAGGGAACTGGAAAAGACACACGAACACAACATAGTAGACCAGACAAAGGAGGAACGCACAGACTGGAACTAAAATACATGGGGTGATTAGGACTAGAATCAAGACACACCAGAATCAATTCAAACACAATCGGAACAGGAAAATAACCAAATATGGGCATGTAACACACGAGGGAAAACTAGGTCAATGGGAGCACGTGGAGAGGAAAACACACACACAGTCCATATTCCTCACAATATGTACCCCTATATTTATATTTGACTACAAAACACAGTTTGTCAGGAATTTAAGCATTTTTAGGCCATTTTTAAGGACATCAGTTGCAAAACAAAAGGTGCTTGGTGCACAGATGTACTGAAATGTATCACTGAAAGGTTATATTTATTGAACGTTTCTCTAATATCATATTGTATAATGAAAATCAAACACATATTATGATATAGTCTACCATATCTTCACGAATGTGGTGGTGTTTGACATTTAGAAATGCAAAAATGTCAAATTCATGGTCAGTCACATTGATGCCTTTGAATTTGGTTGAATCTCTATTATCTGTAATTGATTTCATATTCATATAGTTGTTTTCTTTTAGTCTGAGTTGGGTGATAGTGGGATAAAATGTAAGATTTTGTTTTCTTGAGCCATAAAGCTGAACTACATTTTGGGATAGTGTTAAAACAGTAGTTAAGAAAGCATCTTATCATTGCAATATGTTTGCACCAGCTCTGCAGTTCAGCCCTCCAGTCAAGTAAAGTCACGTCACATTTATTGATATAGCACTTTATACAATTGATTGGTATAAAGCAAGCAGCTTTACAGTATTAAACATGAAAAACCGTGTCAGTGTTGCTTTCCAGTGGCGTGCACAGACCTCCAGAGGAGCAGGGGAGTAACGCCACTGTTGCTTTCAATTAGAAATACAACTTCAATTTCTACTATAAAGCAGCTCTCCAGTATGTTCATGTTTTTACAGCACTTCGTTCTTCGATTTCGCTTAAAGTATATCAGGGCCTTAAGAATAACCTGATCCCACAGGGAAACAACTTTTTTACAAGGTGCAATTTAATATGAATTTGTACAATGTGAGCATTAAGGTCCCCTCCTAAACATAACCCTCACTGGGGCATCAGCAGATCGTATGAATGAGATCATACAAATTCATTTGAATTAGCCACCAATTCGCTAAAACATAATAACTTTGTTATGGAATAACATTATGAAGCAATATATTCTTGATATTTACATCATATAGTCAGAGCTTCTGTTCATTAATCTGTATTTTCCAGTCAACAGTGTTCTGCAGCGACTCACCCTTGCAATGGACACATGCGTTATAATTACAACACGCTGTTTTGACTAGTTCTGCTCCAGTGTCACTAACCCAGCTGCTGTCAGATGGAGCAGTCATGCCAAGTCAAGTGAAGGGGAGGGGAGTATGTATCTGTTGCTAGGTAACAATTTCCTCATCCCCCCCAACCCCAGATGTCCCATGTGTGAAGGTCATTTGTACTGCCTCCTCTTCACACATCCATGTACTGTATGTTGCTCACAGGAAGTGATGAGATGCACTTCCAGGTCAGTGTGAACTGGAATAATGCACTGCATAATTTGGTTGAGGTGCAGTGGTGGCATATAAATGGCAGAAAACAAAACACTTTTTTGATTTTATACATTTCTGAGCTATATAGATGTAGCACTGAGATTAATGAATGCTTTAGAAGTATTGTTCATGTTAACTAATATAGTTAACTAATGGAACCTTATTGTAAAGTGTGACCAGAAAACATTTATAGCGAAATGTTAAATGTAAAGTAAATGTATAAAGTTAAACTGCAATAATGATGCTTATTTTTAAAACAAACAAACAAAATCTATTTGTTACGAAAATTTGGGCCATTTTTTTCTTTACCCAAAACACATGAGATGGTGTGTTTATCATGGTAGATAATTAACCGGTCGCATTATGTAATTGGGATTTATCTAGCAAGCGTTCAATTAACACCACACAATTACCTGGACCTCTTTGTTTTAAAGCCTGAGGGAAGATTTGTGAAAGTGATCTGTTTCTCTCTTCACACCCTTCACCTTCATGCAGTTTC